TCTGGGCCAACTCCCCTCCAGTGTCCTTGAGGTCTTCTCTGCCTGCCTAATTCTTGAGAACTTCTAGAATCCACGCATCTCACTTGCAAAAAAAAAAAAGTAGATACATATTTCTGACGTTGTTTAAGCCACTTTTTAAGCATTGTATTTTGTTTTACATACTACACTTCTTTTAAAAACACATCAATTAAACGGAGATGAGCTAAGAGCTGTCAAAATTATAAAATTGTTTGAGGAATATAGACCCCAAGCAAAAAATGTGAGGCCCACACAGTTTGTCTAGGAACTGAGGCCAAGGGAGGCCTGAAGACACGTGTTCACTGCCACAGCATGCAACACAAAGCTGTACAGCTCATGAACATCAAATACACTGATTAGTCATTGTAGCCTGAAATTGGGAACCAGTAGAGTATTAACCAGAACATTAAATAACCCATGGTACTGATCATGCAGACTTACACCCTAAACATAATTCATGGACTGTTATCACACCTCCAAAATGGAATTACAATGAGCATATATCCTTTTGAGCCCCTTCTTTTAACACATACTTTGTTCTTTATCTGTCCACTCTCATTCACATTTAATATTTTGCCCACCTTTCCCTCCGTTTGTACTATTAAATCCCTCACTCTCTCTCCCATTGGGCCACTCTCCAATACTGTCTCCAGTACCCCTGTCTCTAATTTCTTCTCCTCCTAAATCCTCACAGGGAACACAGATTTCCAAAGTGGGACCTACTTCAAGGATGGAGGGTTTGACGTTTTTAGCTCTCTTATAGAATCCAGGAGAGTATAACTGAAATTTGAGTCTAGGTGGATTGTCAAGTATGATTTCTTATACTTAAAAACAATCATTTTTAAAACTTACAGCCCATTATTGTTTATGAATAACCCACATTTTAATCTTATTTTGCTCTTACAAGATCCCAGTGATAAGGTGGTTATTGCTATCATACCCATTTATATAGATCAGTCTCTAAGTTTGAGGCAAAGCTCGGTGGTGAGTTGAGATTGCAATACAGTTTTTGTAACCCGAAGGTAAGTAGTCTTGGAGGGCTACTTGGAGATATCATCACAGTAGCTATTTTTTTAAGAAGGTGACACATCCGAACATGAAATTACAAGTGTACTCCACCACCACGTACAGTCTTTTGAAATAAGAAATAAGTTCTGAAATCCTAGAGAGGTTTCAGCCCGAGGATGCCACCATCACACAGTAAAGCATCAGGTCTTCCATCATGCAGCAAACAGCAGGTTTTATTCTTCAGCAGGGAGGAGGAGCCTGATGGAGAAAATCCAGTCTTCCAGCCACTTTGTTCTCAATCCCTGTGTTACTGGACTCGGTATTATATCAAAGCTACTTGCTGTGGGTTAACAGTCAAGAGACAGTAAAGTTAGCATTAGTTAGATATCTAAGAGCCAGGACAGAGGTCTGGTGCCAGCTTAAACATTCTGGTTTCTCTCTTTAAATGTCCAAAGAAAAGTAATAGAAGATATAACTCATAGTGAAAACCAGAATCGAGGTGGGGGAGGCCAGACACGTCCCAGTCCCTGAAAAAAGACCCAGGGGCTGGTACAGGAGGTTCTCTCCTCTGCTGTTGCTCTAGCTGTTAATACATATTTGCCGAGTGAATAAGGGAACAATCGGCTGTAGTTTAGAAACCTGTTGTGAAATCGAACTATGAATCTGTCAGTTCAGCCCCCTCCCACTCCCCCCCCCCCTGTCTTTTCTCATCCTGCCCCACCACTCTCCTCCTTTTCCACGTGACAATGGAAATATGTGCTGCCTTCTATGGTCGGTCTGTAGACCAAGTCCTTTCCACCTCTTGCTGGCATTATTCCTCCAGATTAGTTAAGGCCGAAG